TGAAGAATGTATGCTAAAAAATACTTAAAAGAGCACAACATTTTTCATAATTTTGAAATGTTTCTAATGTATTTTGATAACTAAATAATAATAAATAAAGTTAAATATTTTAAAAAGTAAAAAAGTTAGAAAAGTACGCACTTAATGAATCRGCCTGTATTTTATACCACTCGTCTTTTACCATTATTGCATCATATGGTTATTGTATTTACTTTTGTATTTGTTGTTAATTGTTAAATGTTCCCTGGAACCATGGATGAAATAGCATCTTGTTAATTCTAACATTCTCACATCTGTATTTCTAGTGTCTCTTTCAAATACATGAATAAATTTAATCCAATGTCTTGAAAAACCTGAAAAAAAAAATGCCCGAAAATTTTAGTGGAAAGGCCGACTCAGTGTTCACGCAGTCAAAGAGTGGTCATGCTTTACCTGCCCATGAATCTGTTGTGTCATGCATTCTTTAAAAAAAACTTTTACCACTCAGTTTTGGTTCATGGTTAAAGTKGAAGTCATCATTAACAGAGCTTGTAAAAGCACCTGATTCGTCTCCTCAGTTTACATTGATCCACTAAAAAGTCAAGATGAGTGCAGAGGTTTTGAAGCAGGACCTGAAAGCACCGTTAAATAGAAACTGCCTCTGTGAAACAAAAGGTGCACCTGGGGGGCTTACTGACTTTACCAAATCATCTGTGCTTCCTCAGTGAAACTAAATTAGATGCTTCTTTGTAGTGTTCGCCGAGTGAACTTTAYACAGAGCAACAGGCCAGGCCTGGTGAGTTCTGATAGGTTCTCCTAAAACCTCTAAAGTGAGGCGTCCATGAGGCATCCTAATCAGATGTCCGAACAACGTCAACTGCTTTTGATGCGAAGGAGCAGCAGCTCTACTTCAAGGTGYTCCCAGAAGATGGATCTCCTCACACTATCTTTAAGGCTGAACCCGGGCAACCCTACGAAGGAAGCTCATTTCAKCCGCTTGTATCTGGGGTCTTGTTCTTTCAGTCATGATCCAAACCTCCTGACCCAAACTGAGGGCTACAGACCAGCAAACCAAGAGCGCTGCCTTTCARCACAACTCTTTCTACATCACAACCRACTAAACCAAYGCCTATTACGAAGAACAAAGCCCCTATCCATCTCTTGCCCCAAGATACCCTTACCCAAGAGGGTATTCCTTCCGTTTCTGATTGAGAACCATAATCTCAGTCATAGAGGAGAGGACTCTCATCCCAACTGCTTCACTAAGAACAAGTACACGCTTAAGGCTATGACCCAAAGACGTCAACAGAACCACATTGTCTGAATAAAGCAGAGATGAGACCCTTCCTTCCACGACTGTGCCTTAAGATCCTATTGGTATGAACAGGATCAGCGACAAGGAACAGTTCCGGTGGAGTCCAACTTATAGAGACTGAGCACTTTATGCCAAGATGCAGAAAAAGCTCCKGCTTTGGTACAGGAACCGAWTAACTCTTAAAATCAGCCCTGGCACCCCGTAGTCCTGCTGTACCCCCACAGAATGTCACAGGGGGCATGTCGTAAGCCTTCTCCAGGTTCACAAAACACATAGACTGGAGAGTCAAACACCAATAACCCATCCATCCATTTTCTGTACACACTTCTTCCTTTCAGGGTCATGTGGGTCACTGGTGCCCRTGTCCAACAGTCACAGTGTGAGGGGCGGGGTACACCCTGGACAGGTCGCAAGTCCATCTCAGGGCCAATAACCCCCCTTACCAATTCTGCAAGGGTAACGATCTGAACCACTTTAATGCAATGGTTGACAACAGTTGGAGCCTCTCTTCCAATACCCTGGTTTAGAAGTGTGATCCCACAATGGAATGCTCTCCAGTTCCCCCTTTTTAAAAAGGGGAACCACCACCCTGATCTGCCACTCTGCAGGCATTGTCCCAGTCCTCCATGTGACATTCAATATTCCATGTTTGACCATGTCTTTCTCTATATGTATATAGGTTGCAGTATAAATGACATAAAAGCAGAATGAAAACATCCTCATTTCACTGCAGAAGATGGCTTTCAAAGTGAAAACAGATGGTCTCTTTCCTCTGTTCCTAGAAGAAATCTGCATCTATCTTTTCCCCAAACGACTCAAATTTCAATACTTTAAGACTATGCTGCCATTTTCAACTTCATCAGCCTAAATTGGGCTTTTATCAAAGAAGTCAGTGTTTTGTAATCTCACCTGTGACTAGTTCAGGAGATATTCTTGTCTTTCAGTTAGTTGATTGAGAATTTGATATTTAACATTGCTTGTTAACCACTGACATTATTATTATTATTATTATTATTATTATTATTATTATTATTATTATTAACGCACACAAATAAATAAGCCAAAATACTACCTAAAAGCTCAATTTAGGGAAAAGTGGATAAACTTTAAGTCAGTTTGTCATTAAAAACAGAGAAAATGCTCGAATAAACCCATATATTTTTATTCCGTGAAGCAAATTATGTGGAATGCGTTGTATACTCAATACTGCAAAAAAAAAAAAACCCCAAAGACTACGGTTTTGGCAAGCATCAAAGTCGTTTCTAACCTTGCCGCTGCGCGTTTAGCATAATGTTTTATGAAACAATGTTAAAATAAGCATAATTAACATCACATTTTCACTAGAAATCGTTTTTTGCCCAAAACAAACCGCTTTTGTTTGAGTGAAAGCGTATCCTCGTAAAAGACTACAACTCCCAGCAAACCCACTTCCGGTTTGAGCTCGTTCCAGCCAATCAGAGAGTCTCTGGATTTATGGTAGCTGTGAGGGGCACGGGGCCAGCGCGTCTAGCCAGCTCGAAGTGCCACGACTTCATAGCAGAAGACCAGGGATCCAGCGGAGTGAGGGGGAGATCAGTGAGGGAAAAAAAACAGCCAGACTCCTGGTTATATAGGTAGGTTAGTACAGAAGCTGCAAGCTTT